GGTTCTTTTGCATGCTTTTAAGATCCAGCCTTATTGAACTCTGCAGTTCCTTGAAGACATGCTGTTTTGTTCAACTCATAGATTTTTATCCAACTTTCCCCTCTCAACCATCCAAGCCTCCCATCCCTGTTGTATTCTCCTTGTGGTTAATTCCTACTCCCCTTGTAGCTAACTCTCAGCTTCCTCCAGGAAGCCTTCCCTGCCTCCTGGACTCAGTTGGCATCCCTGTTGTAGACCTCTGTGGCCCCCTATTTATCCCACTGGCATTCTGAGAAATGTTTATAAAAATCTCACAAGAGTAACTTGACAGTGTCTGCCATATGCTTTCTTGTTGCTCATCCCACTTTGCCACTACTCTCAATTGCCCTGTGACGTGGGACTCAATTTGGAGATAGCCCTCTTTAAGACAAGATCCACAGTCCAAGTCCATTCTACTATGGAATTCTTGAATATTCTTCTGAGCTGCCTTACACCTGCTCTGTGGAAAGGGAGAATAGGGGTAAAGCAAATGGTCTCTCTTTTCCTCTCCAGCTAGAGGGGATTTTCTGGCTGGGGTGCAAATGTGAGTGTAGGGGTTGTGTTGGTGGAGGAGGGCCTGGGTCCATTAGCCAATGCACATTCAAATTTTGTTTCCTTCTATCTTTGATCAATGTCCTAGACTCTGAATTTGGTATCTATCTGATAATGTTCTCTGGGAGCACATGACAGCCCATGTCTCCTGGTCCGGTGGAGGATGGAACAGTGAATGAAGAAAGTCGTTACTGGTTGTTAGCTCTAATTATTGTTTGGTTATGCATATTTCCTACTTTAATTATATATGCAAGGTCATTTTTCCCTACCATGTTGAAAGCACTGTGAGTGAACATTTGAACATTTTTATTGTTTGGAAGAAAAGAAAGTTTTTTTTTCCACACTCAACCTCACTTAGAGTGAATGAAATACAAATTCAAACAACAGTGTAACACCAGTTTTCACCAACTAAATTAACCAAAATTGTTTTAAAATTTTTGTGATTATTATGCTTCTATATACTTTGTAAAAATGTTTTTCATGGTTTCTTCATGCTTCACTTTGGAGTTAGAAAATAAAACCTTCAGATCCTTGTTTAAGCCCCAGTCAGCCCCTTTCCCGTATAAAAGATTACAGTGATCCCATGAACTTGAGCCTATGGCCAGTTTGCAGGTGGTCCCTGTGGAACAGGCCACTTGTACCTTTCATGCCTGGGTTCTGTAGTCTACCCTGGGGAAGACACTTTTCTGACTGTAAGTCAGCACACTGTAATAATCCTCAAGCCCTTGTTGCTCTGATTTCTGGTTTCTTTGCCTGAACATCATTACTCATTTCAAGCTCTCCTAAGGAATTCTGTCCTACAAAGAGACTTTGACTTCAAGCATGTCGAGACAGTGATGTTTCTTAGGTTTTAGGAATTTGTCTTTTCTGTTTGGTTTAATAAAAGGCAGTCAACCTTGGGCCTCCCTGGTGGTGCAGCGGTTGAGCACTGGGCTGCGAAGCTGCCCACATACTCTGCAGTGCTGTTTGATCCCTGGCCAGCTGGCAAGGGTCCCACATGGTGCGCAGACCTCTCCTGCTGTGCCCACTGCTCCCCTCAGCAGTGTACTTTGTCAGTCTGCCTGTTCTGCTCCCCGCTTTGGCTCTGGTGAATTCTCTTACCCTCCCGTGCTTCTGACTATACCCAGTGCTTATATAAATAAATAAATAAATCTTTAAAAAAAAAAAAAAGGCAGTCAACCTTCAAATTGGCTTCAGAATGGGGTTTCAGAGCAATTTGTTTAAGTGGTCTTCTGTTGGGCTTATACATACCAGAGTTAGGAATGAAGGTTTACATGAATGTATTAACACAAGACCTGTTCAGATTGTCATTTGGGAATGAATCTGTTCATAGGATGGGTTGTTCAATATGGCTTTATAATCCCTGGTCTGAATATAGACAGTGTACAAAATGAGTTCAAGTCCAACTTTCCAGATATGGGTAGTTACAGTTATGTGTGAGCTCAAACTGTAAACTAACTTGGGTTAACGTGATTATTTTTTAAAGAAATCTGCAGATGGTTGTTTTATATTTTCAGGTGTTATTTATTACATTTTCCTTTGCCTCTGTGTACTTACTCCATCACACAATGTGATATATCTGGCAAGTGACCCAATACCTTCTATTGACTTAATAGAAGTCAATGGAGCCATGGGTAGAGGCATGGACCATGAGAGATTTTGAAATCTGCAACTCCTGCACCTTCTGGTAGCTGTAAATAAAAATATGATGCAGACAGTCGTGTCTGCTTTAGAACTCCAGAGAATGAGACTCAGTTAGAAGGACAGAAGAAACTGAGGGTGTAAGGAATCCCTACAATGTCAAGCAATTAGAAACAAAGAAGGAGGACCTGGTCAACAGCAGTACCAGGAAAAAGCATGTAAAGAAGAGACAGGGCATGAGGGAGGAGAGGTGGTCCTAACTGTAATGCAAAGATTTCAGGTAAAATAAAGAATTAGAAGAGACCATTAGATTTGGCAGCCAGAGACAATACCACAGCAGAATTGTGGAGGAACAATGGGAGATTACAGTGAGGAGTCAGGGAAGCAAGGAACTTGGATGATGAAGGAAAGAGAAGTAATGGGGTAACTGTAGAGAAAAGCTTTTGGGTGAGGATAGGAAATGCAGAGCATATTTGAAAGTTGAGGTCAAAGAAAATGAAGAGAGATTGGATAAAACATGCAATAGTGTTGGAATCAAGTTGAAAGTTGGATCAAGAATATTGTGGAGGAAATAGCCCCTTTCATACTGTGAGAGGGGAGGAAAGGAAATAAAAAGAGATAAATATAGAAATTTTGAGGAGACTGGAAAGAATCAAAGGTCTCATGCTTATGGGCTAAGGAAAGTAGAAGATGAGATAACATAGGCAGAGTTGGATGGACAGTCAGGGTGGAGCTGTGACTAGAGAAGATTATTAAGGGTTTAGAAGAAGCTGCCTATAATTAGGAAGGACTGTCTATAACCTAACACTAGCTTCCTCAGCAGCAATTAATATGCATTACACTCCTCATTTAAACATCTTCTAGAGATCCCCAAGATTAGACAAATCCATAAATATTTATTTATTGTAGCCACAAAACACTCCAGAGATCTGCTTACTTTCTCTTCAAAGCATCCCCCAGGATGATTATTCTTTTTCATTTCTCTAATTGCATACTAGAGAAAGCTTCAGTCAGATGCAACTAGTTTTTAGACCACTGAACACCTGCAGGTCTTGTTGATGCATGCTTGAGCCCAGAACTTTCTGTAAGAGCTTGCTTTAAAGAGGAAGATGCCATGGCTTTTCATGTAATGGAACCTTGAGTTGGTAATGTTGTCAATCCTAACATGTATGCACTCATCAAGGGAATCATAAAACAGTCTCCTCCATTTGTTCCAACAACTTTCAAAGCTTCTTGAATTCCTTTCTACACAGCTAGGAACTGTGCTCTTGGATTCTGAGGTGGGCACAGGAAAAAAAGAATAAAAAGGTTGACACTGTGTAGAAATCGTAAAACAAAATCAAGGGAAAGTAACCTCATCATCATATTTCTCTCCAAACAGTCATTAGCACCTTTGTAATTTACTGAAGGGCTGGCACAAGGATTAATTTGGCTCTTAGACCATCCATTTCCCCCCTCAATATTAGTAAAAGTCTGAAAATAATATGAAATTCTCAAATTTTGGAGAAAGATCAGGGGCTCTTAGTTTGTGGGCTGCTAGAAAAGTCAATACATTTGAGGAGGACATGCTTCTTCAACTTCCAGCGTGGCTAGAAAGACCCTGGGGCTGCTTGTTAAGCATCTGTGTGAGTGCTGGGTGTGGGATTGAATCTGCTTTGTGTCAGGGGACATGTCTCAGATGACCTACAACTAAGAAGGAGTTTAACCGCTGGGGATTTAGAGAAAAAGACCTGTTTTAATAGATTTCAGGGGAAGGGCATTCTCTTACATCAGCAATAATTTTTTAGTTTAAATAAATATTGCTAGAAATCACAATGTCCAATCCATAGGACTTTGAGACAAAACAATAATTATCTGGCCATGAGCTGCACCACAGAAACAGTGCTTCCAACAGTGCTTTGAGTCCTACATGGGAACACATTAAGCCCCTAGCACCAGATCTCTTGTTGCTCTTTTCCTAGGTCTTTACTCCTTTTTCATTTGGGTGGCTAAGTCAACTTTTGGGCATTTTCTCCCACCTTTGGGATGTGGGATGACAAATGGAACTTGGAGTGTAATTATCACTAAAAAGAGAATACAGGAGGATTTCACCTCAAATGGGAGCTAAACACAATCAAGTTCTTTAATTGAAGGATGCCTGTTAAATGGGTGAGAACAAGAGACAATGCTGACTGTACCAGATAATTTGTCTTCTAGCTATAATTACAATGGGTACCACTGCGTTTCTGTAAATTAGGTATTGGGTCATAACAGTGACTTTTTAACTCCCAACCCTTCTTTAGTACTTTACCTTTGGTTAAAGACCAAAATTTGACACCAACTCAACCCAATTAACCATTAACCCCGATCCTACCACAGGGATGGCGGACACTGCTAGAGGGACTCTGGAAAGCCCACATATGTGAGAATGGGGTGCACTGTGTTCTTGAACTCTGGGAGCTCTTAGGAAATGTTTGGCAGCATCAATTACACTGTTTCTGTTAGTCTGACAGTCCTTGCTACTCCTGGCAAATATGTATCACATGCTGCCCTGGAACTTGAAGGTCATTCAACTGCAAAGGGATAAAAACTCAATTGCTGTGCCGGGCCCTGCCATTTGCTAAAAACCTCAAACACACAATTTGCACAGGTCCCAAGCTTCTACTTTACTGACACATTCTGCCTTTGGGCTACTCTCCAGCTATCTGTGCCACAGTGGTGGTAATTGCAATCTCTTCTACCCTTCGATGTAGTGATTAGACTTGGTGCTCTCAGCATCCATGCCTTCTTGTGCTCTCTGCCCTCTCCAGACTGCCATCCTCTGTGCCAGCGCTGTGTGGCTGATCTCCACCACACCAGGAGCATCTGCCTGAGGTGCCAGAATGCCCGCTACCTGTTGCTGGGGGACCATTGTGTTTCCACTTGCCCTTCTGGGTACTATGCAGAGAGAGGAGCTTGTAAAAGTGAGTAAGTGCTGACAGAGTTGCTGATGGGGCTCAAGAGCTTCCCTTTGGGGCAGATGCAGAAAAGGCTTGAACTTCCCAAGAGAACGGAGGCAGAAAGCACACTGTGGGACAATAAACCAGAGCAGCTCATGCTTTTAGTGTTGGGGCTTTAATTACTGGCTCTTGGGATATGGGTTTGGAAGGAGTTTGGCTTCATAGTTTCTCTTTGTGTATGTTTTTCCCCCTGTAGAATGTCACTCCTCCTGCCGAACCTGCCAGGACAGAGGACCCTTCTCCTGTTCCTCGTGTGACTCCGACCTTGTTCTGACCCACCTTGGCACCTGCAGTACCACCTGCTTCCCAGGGCATTATCTTGATGACAACCGGGCTTGTCAGCGTAGGTTTTTAAACATAAACTTTCTCTTTCATGCTCTTCTGGGGTGATCAAAGGAAAGTGAAGTTTCTGTTTCCTTAGTCTCACTGGTGGCCTTTATTTTTATAAAAGGAAGAATTTTTTTTTTTTTAAGATTTATTTATTTATTTATTTATTTATTTATTTATTTATTTATTTATTTATACAAGCACTGGGTACAGTCAGAAGCACGGGAGGGTGAGAGGATTCACCAGAGCCAGAGCGGCAACAGAACAGGCAGACTGATGAAATACACTGCTGAGGGGAACAGCGGGCAGCAGGAGAGGTCTGTCGCGCCGTGTGGGACCCTCGCCTGGGGCCGGGATCGAACCGGCACTGCAGAGGCCACGGGCAGCTTCGCAGCCCAGTGCTGAACCACTGCACCACCAGGGAAGGCCCCAAAGGAAGAAATTTAATCTGCAAAGGCATATGGAAGCCATAAGAGATTATAATTCCGATATTAGCCTATTTGGAAGGGCTGGGGTGGGAATCCCCTCCATAAGTACCAGCTGTGTGACCTTAGGCCAGTCTTTTAACCTCTCCGTTCTCTAGTTGTCTAACTTGAAAATTAAAGTATTAGCCTGTTTCACTTTTTTGGTTTCTCTCAACAATTCAATTCCAAGATCCTGAGCAGAGAGTAGAATTTATTCTGGTACACAATCAGTGACCTAATTCTCTGGATTTAATTTGTTTTTGACATGTGTTTGTTGTATATTGACAATGTGCAAGGCTTGAAATGCTATAAAGCTTTCAGTTTCTGCCCAAACAGTAGTTATTTTGTCTCCCATGAAAGTCACTTGTAAAGATGTCTTACTTCTCAAATAAGTCAAAATATGAGTAATTACCCCAGTTATGCACAAACAAAGAAGTTCGATAAATTAGGGAAAGGGCAAATGTGAGTGCAAAAGCAAGAAATCCTTCACAGATGAAGGAACATTTTGAGATAGGCTGAGGCGGCTTACTTTGGTAACTAACATGTCATTTGCAAAAAACAAACAAACAAAAACCCAGTGTATTACACTGTCTCCTTTTGAAAGTGACAGCTAACAAATACAGTGCTGGTATTTCAATTCTGTGTCCCAAGAAGTACCATGTTAAAGGAACTATTGAGGAGTAGTTAGGAGGTGGTCTCTGTAGTCTGCTGACTAAAATTCTAATCCCACTTACTAGCTTTATGACCTTAAACAAATAAATTAACTTCTAGGACTCATTTTTATTTTTGGTAAAGGGACATTATAGTAGTACCAACATCTAATGTTATTGCATGAAGCACAGACCCTAGCTGAGAGTAAGCTTTCAGTATAGATTAGCTATTGTTATCATCATCTGGAATGAGAAGCAAATCAAGCAGAAAAAGACAATTCAATTTTATAGATAGAAAGATATTACTGTTAGTTTATTGAGACGCCTGCAAGGATTTGCATTTGAAATGAAGTTATATTGAACTTACTGTTTTGCATCATCTGTTGAAATACCAGAGATAAAAATACTTTTTAACCAATGAAAAGATTTCTATGCTTTTGCAATAAAAACTTTGCTTGGTATATATCAACTGTCTGCCAGAATCTGTAGATTCTATAACACAAGAGACACAAATGAAATACTTGCATGTTCTATTCAAGAGCAAGAGAATATTGGTAGAGAAATAGTGACTTAGATTTATTAGGCTCTTCACAGAAGTGGAATCACAGAAATAAAAGTTCAAAAGAAAAAAATAGAATCTTTTATATGGAGTATAGGTGACAAAAATACATTGCATTGAAATATTTCTCTTCTGGAAGATTTTGCATTGGTGAATGGTGATCTCTGCTCAAATGCATTTCCTCTGCTACCATGTAAATAGGATTTTATAGACTATGTCAGTGGACTTAAGACTCCTTTATAACCAAGATGAGAAAGCATACATTGTACAAAAATTCAAAGAATGATGTAAAAATATATAGAATAAAAATTTAAAAGTAAATAAATAAATAAAACCATGACACATAAAGGGGAAAAAATCCTTTAACTTTAGTCCTTTCCTAAAGCTTAATTTTCATTCTTTCCAATTTTGGCTAATGTGTGTCTCTAAATTGGAATATTTGACTTTCTAGTATATATAAAAAAGTCAACACTGCCCCTTTCAAATGCTCATCATTATAGTCAATTACAGCTGACAGTTTTAGAAATTGTGCAGCAAAGGAGATTTAAGGAATTATAATCAGTATTAAAGGGAGGCATAATCACTATAATATAGAAGAAAGAGCTGAAGAGTCTAGATTATAGTTACAGAAACCTTTAGAAATTATAAACTGAAATCTAAAATTTAAGGATGACCGCTTGAGGCAGGAACTTTAAAATAAGAGATGATAAATGAGGTTCTTGAACTCATCGTGCTTCAGATTAGGAGAGAACCCCAGGCTACCCAAGCCAGTCTTGTACCCAGTGCAGAGGCTCTTTCTTTCTTTTTCTTTTTTTTTAGATTTATTTATTTATTTATTTATTTAAACAAGAACCAGGGTACAGGCCAGATCTGCGGGAGGGTGAGAGGATTCACCAGAGACAAAGTGGGAAACAGAACAGCCAGACTGAAGAAATACACTGCTGAGGGGAGCAGCAGGCGCGACAGAAGAGGTCTGCCACGCCATGTTGGATCCTCGCTGGCCAGCCGGGATCGAACTGGTGGTGCAGAGGCCGCGGACAGCTTCACAGCGCAGTGCTCAACTGCCTGTGCCACCAGGGGAGGCCTCAGAGGCTCTTTCTTGCTCTCACTCACAGACTTCTACAGATGAGGAAGAAGGCCAGTTCCATTGTTGCGGGGCAATAAGTGGTGTGGTTGTTTAACAGTTCTTTCTCACTGACACCAGAATTTCCTCTGGAGCAATACAGAACAAATCTTCCTCATTCTCATGACTGCCTTCAAAGTTTGAAATTAACTGTCATTTCCCACTCAAATTTCTCACCTCCAGGCAGAACTGGAGTTAATAGAGTATTTAAGCAGAGTTAGGTGACCATGTCTCAGGGCTGCTGTAGAAAACAAGCCTGTTTAAGAGGGAGGATGGAATTTATTAACCATGAAGACCCTCTTAAAGAATGGCTTAGCACATCCCTGCTTCCTTTTCTGGTTTCTCATCCACTCCCCACCTTCTTCACTGTCCCTTTTGGCATTTTCTATGGGGTCACTGACCTCAGAACTACACATGCCTTTCCAGATGCGGTCACACCAGCACGACTATAAGAGGACCACTACCCTGTGTACTTTTAATATCTTAAGGTGGAGAAACTGCTCCTTATTCAGATTCCTCTGGAGATGGATGTATTGGTTTGTGCAGAACTGCTCTGAGTGAGACCAGATCATTTGTGGATTCCCTTGGATTGGGATGAGGTTAGATGAAAGAGGAATAAGGGTTCAAATAGACATTGTGGGAGCATCCTGTTCCTCAGTGAGGCATGACTGTGTCCCTCCCAAAAGTCTTCTATAGTTTCAAAATATTCAATATGAATCTACTTCTTTTGAAAGTCAGTGAAAGAAGACTGAGTTATATATGGAAGTAACAAAGGAGACTGAAAAGCTACTTAGAAGGACTCAAGGACTGGAGGGTAGACAGAAACTTGAAGAAGTTAACTACAAGAAACTGTCAGCTCTCACTCCAGCCTGAGGAATTGACACTTGGATCTAGTTTTCTGCAACTCCATGTCAGCAAGTGGGTCAGCTGACACTTATACTACAATAGGGTTCTTTAGCTTAAGATTATGTTAGCTCCTTTAGGGTCCATATCACACTTATAGTAAACTTTTAATCAACTGAAAAGCTTAAATCACTTTTTGTGGGAACTGCTGTCTAAATCGGTCTTCCATATGCTCTATCTGTACATTGAATTATAGAATATAAAAGCAGTTTACTTATAGTTTGCTTATTTCATCTAATTACTTTAAGTTTATTACTTCAATTTGCTAAAGTAAGTTTGGATTGTTCTTCCAGCTGGTGAAACTTAATTATGTGCGTTTTCAAAGAGAATGTGGCATATTTAAATATTATTATCATGATCTGTTGTTTTCATTAAAGCCATTAATAAAATATTGATAAAGTAAACAATTAAGATTTGATCATAATACTCTATCAAAGACAATGTTTTAAACAATTTCAAAGATTTAGTTGTCACTTTTGAGAAACATTTCAGTCATCTTTAAAGCCATCTACAACGAGGCCCTACCTCATTTTGAATTCTCAACTCTACCCTTAGGATCTTTGTCAAGCACATTCCCAAAATTAAGATGCACCATGTGTACAAATCCTGATCCAAAAAGAATAAAAATTTAGTCTCATATAAATTTCCAACAATTAAAATTTCTTTTCTAATTATTTCCAAATTCTCTGTTTGAAAATCCAATCTAGGATTTTCCTGGAATATTTAATTACTAATCTACATAATCTAGTGAATATTTATACCAATGGTTTTCCTTGTAGGTGAATCAGGAAAACTTTTTCTTTTACAGGGAAGAAGTTTTCCTATACTGTGCTCATGCTTTGATAGCCCATAGATCTAAAACTCACATGATCTCTCTCTAGACTTTTCCTCTGACACACACTTAAAGAAGATTTCAGAGTTGAACAGAGATGCTAGCATTTGAGTATATATAATTGCAGCATCTGGTTTCTTTCATTTATGATTAATGCTTATTGAACACCTATAATTTGATAAATAACCAGCGAGGTGCTGGAGACTACTGCAAAGAACAAAACAAACCTGATTCTTTACTTTCAGGAAGCTCATAGCTTAAAAGATACAGATGTTAAATAACCACCTAGATAAAAATCCTTGTGTTTGGCATGAAAGGTATGTGTAGAGAGTTAGAAGAATTGTAACTGGGAGACTGCTCCAGACTAGAGAGCAAAAGAAGATCCTTTTTTTAAAAACATTAATTATATTTTACATCATTGTGAATACATCATTATATTTTACATCATTTTTGTATAATGTATGCTTTTTCCTCTCAGGTGGAAAAAATTCCCACCACCAATTCACCCGTGCACCATCGCCATAGTCCTTTGTACTATTCCTGCCCCGTTTTAATTCCTTTCCCTCTCTCCTTTTGAAGAATGATCCCTTACTCGGTTCCCCTAAAGGAAGATCCTCTTAAAGAATGAGTAAGAGTTTGTCAAGAGACTTAGAGATTATATTGAGATATTTTGAATAAGTATATTAAAATTTCTAGGTAGAAATTATGGAGGGAATGATGGAGAAGCTGTAGCTGCAAAGGTGATGGCTGGAAATTTTCCAGGATTGAAGGAAGATACAAGTTCGTAGGTGAAAGTGTCCTTTTAAACCTGAGCAATATAAATTTTAAAAATTACTTGGGTGGATACATGGGAAGAAGAATGCAGGGAGGCCACACTGGATCTGGGGAATCAGGTCGGGAACTAGGATAGTAGTCCAGCAGAGATGATGACAGATTGATATGCTGGCATTTGTGGATATGGAAAAAGCAAAAAGTTCTGGGAATGATATAAGAGACTTTGAATAAATAGGATCTCATGAGTGATTTGATTAAGAGACAGAGAGTGGTGTCAAGATGGACTCCAAGGTTTAACAACTGAGTGGATGGAGAAATAACAGTTGTCAGATTAGAGAAGCGTAATCACATCTGGGGATCATCCCTGAAAGCCTGAGTTAAGTGCCTCCTAAGAACTACAGCTGGACAGATCACTTAGCAGTTCACCTTTAAGTCCTTTGTGTCTTAAAATATGGGATTTCCTGGGCTCCACAATGAAGTTGATGCCTAATCATAATCTTTGCATTCCATAAAAATCTGAATCTACACAATGAACTAAATAAAGATCTTGCTTCCTTAAAAATAAATTTAAATATAATTGTAGACTTATTCTAGAGATCTTGGAGTACATATAAATTCTGTTGCTGAATCACAGGGTAGTTTGGATGTGGGGTTTCTGTTTTTCAGCTATAATTTATCTTTTCTGGAAAATATGATTACCCTTTTTATTTTGGAAAATAAGACTAACCTTTTCTATTTTTGTTCATCATAGGGGAGGTTTATGAGCCATCAATAAACTACAGGTTGGATCAGGGCTTTGTTCCTTTGCAGCATCTGTCTAGGTTTGATCAGTGCGTCAGTATTTGCAATTGTAATCATCTGGTCATTTTCTTTTCCTATCTGCTCAGCATGCAATGCACAGTGTAGAAGCTGTGATTCACAGGCCAGCTGTACCTCCTGCCGAGATCCAAACAAGGTCCTGCTCTTTGGAGAATGTCAGTATGAGAGCTGCGCCCCACAATACTATCTTGACTTCTCCACCAACACATGCAAAGGTAAAGCTCTTCCTGAATTGTATAGCATTTCTTTCACTGGGCTATGCCCCTTTCCTCTGGTTGTCCACACTGAGAAAATAGCGGAAATTATGTATAACCAGACACTATGTATATATGTATATATTAATTCATTAATATATTTATTAAGCAAATATTTTTGAGTACCTACTTTGTGCAAGACCCTATGCAAGGTATTATAACTAGACTAAGGATGACATACTGGAACCCCTTCTATTTCTATTTGGCCCTAAATGTTCTTGACCCACCTAAATATTCCAGTGCGCTAAACTGTTAAATATTTGTCTTTTAAAAATTAAAAAAAAAAACCTTACAAATAAAAATGGAGATTTTTAGTTTCTTTTGAGCAAATCTGGCAATATTGGATTTAAATCCCACAATGCAGCAGTAGGGTGGAGATGAGTGGCTGTTGTCTGAGCAAATCTCTTCTATTGCTGCAGCCCCCGCCAGTCCCTACTTTACTACATGAACCTATTTAAAAGATTCTCATTACCTTTCTGAGCCCTGAAGGCAATTGCATTTACAATTTGAGATTGCTAGATGCTGGGCTTAATGAAAACAGGAGTTGTGTCTGATTTGTCTTCTCTGCTGAACATACTTAACTGAGTGAAGACATAGACCCTGTCTGCAAGGAGGTTATAGGCAGTAATGTCAAAACCAAGTACCTTTTCCCTTGTTCTTTGGTGGTTGGGGTTCTTGGGGGCATGTGCTCTTGAAAGGCAGTGCTCCTGGGGAAAAGAAAGTGAAAGAGCAGGTTTTCCCCACTTCTGTTCCATATCCCTTCTCCATTCCTCCATCCCATGCTTGTTCTGCCAGAGGAGCTAGGGCTCAGATATGAAGGTCAAGCCTCTGTCAAGTAAACTTGAAATGCTTTAAGGCTTTGCAAAATCGCGCACTTTCCATTCCAAGAAATTCTGCTGGCTTTGTCAACTTAGGTGGTCTGCTGTGTTCAAGACCACAGAAACTTTTCTATTTTTTCCCTTCTAACCAATGGTTGTCAGTTTGCAGTGAAAAACAAGATTATTGCAAGTCCTCCCTGTTGTAAATGATTTCATAACTATGCTGGCAATTTTCAAGGTTCTGTGTTAGTCATTCTCCCTCAGGACTGATTCAGCGAAATAAATGAGTGAGATTAACTTTATAAATCTTCTTGAAACATGTGTACTGTCTTGCACATTTACCTGCTTCTCTGGGACTTAGAAATACTGCATCAAGAAACAGAGAAAGGCGAGTAATAAAAGGGTTCCCCAGCTTCTCAGTGAGGGGGGCAGGGGATAAGGCAGTACTGCATGGAGATTTGTTCTCAAAAAAAGCAATGTGGCAGCAAACATTTATTAAGCTGCTACTATGTGCCAGGCATTGTGCTAAGTTCTTAAATTCATTATTTCATTTAATTTTCACAGTAGCCTTATGGAATAGGTGGTATTCTTCTCCCTGTTTAACAGATAAGGAAACTAAGACTCAAAACGTTTATGGAAGTTATGTGAAATATGCAGATAGAAAGTGATGAAGCCAGGAAATCCAAGAATGGAAACTCACTGGCTGTCCCATTTCCATGACTTGCTTACCCGCTAGAATTTTCATTCTCAAACATGAGTTTTCCAACTGTGTCAGGACCTGGGCCATGAAAAACAATAGCAACAAACACAGCCATAGTCATCATAGTAACAGCACATTTTCTGGTGTCCCAGTCCCTGTGCCTGACTCCAGAGTTCTGATGTAGATCCTCATAGTCTGTATTTCTAACAACTCCCTTGGATTATTTGGGTGCACATCCAAGAGTGGAACCCACTAGACCATAAAGTCCTTGAGGTTAGGTCTGCAGCTAACACTTACTAGCCCCATTCTGGGCTGTGCATCTTATAGATACATGTTGAGCAAGTGAACATGTGAGAGAGTTCTGCTCTCAATGAGATCTGCTGTTATTTCAATAAAACTTCTTTTCTAGATAGTTACTTTATGTTGTATTAAATCTTAACATGGTTGTTTTTTTCTGTTGTGTTGGTCAACACCTATTTCTGAGAGGTAGCGCTGCGCAGCTATGGTCAGTGGTCACAGTCAACCTTCTTAGGTGTGGCCCGACATCCTTTACCCATGGACATTGAAGGAGGTCTGGATTAGGTTTGCAGAGGCAAATTGGACTACTCTTTATACTAGGGTTTACATGAAGATGCCGTAGCACAGAAATAAAAACACTGAAGCTCATGGAATTAGATGAAGTTGATCTGGCTCCTCAGCAGCCCCGCTTTTGACAAGCAGGCTCTGTGCAAGCATGGAGTGTATCTTATGTGTCCGTGTCTAACATAATTATCAAACACTGAACCCAGAGAAGCATTCAAGTTGCTACAAGCCGAGCCTGGTTAGGGCTCACTTATCTGACATCTCTCCTGTTGTCCTCATATTACCCCTTGTAGTGGCAGACAGTGTCCTCATAAATTAGCTGCTGGCACTGAGGGTGATCAGAAAGGAAGCTGATCTCATTGGACTTTCTTCCTAGAGTGCGACTGGAGCTGCAGCGCATGCAGTGGGCCTCTGAAGTCAGACTGCCTGCAGTGCATGGATGGCTACGTCCTCCAGGGCGGGGCCTGCGTGGAGCAGTGCTCATCAGCATTTTACCGGGACTCAGGGGTCTGCAAGAGTAAGTGGGACTCCTGCTCCACACCCATCCCAACTTCTTCCTCCTCTGATTTTTACTGCTCTGAGAGGGAGTCTATGGCTAGTTTCCCTTCTGTTTTTTTAATCCAATTTCTGGTTTCTGTGTTATAATAATCACCTCCTTTCCTTCTCTCCTGCCCAAATACAACATTTGTTAAAATTTAAAGTCAGTATGGGAATCTTGGGGGATATATGGTCAACTAAACAAGTATGTTCTGACCATTGCTTTTGGAATTGGACAGACTTGTCCTCCAGATGGGGAGGTCTATGAATCATGACCTTTCTGCATAGAAAGACACTGTTATTCCACCGTCTACTTCTCATCACCCTCCATACCCCCGTATATCTCCTCATCATCTTTCACTGGCCCAGTGCCCCTCTGCCTCAGTTTAACAACACAAAATATTAAGATCCTGAAATACCAGAGTGCTCAGATCACATTCCTGGTTGTCATAAAAGACTACACTCAGGGAAACACTGCGGAGAGCTAAGCCCTGGCTATTAACAATAAGAATAACAGAAGAATAACAATGTCTAATATCTGTCAATTTATAGTTTGCATAGTATTTTCCATTATTTAGCTTGATCTTTACCCAGGGAGCTGGGTGGGACAGTAAGTCTACTCCTATTTTATAGAAAAGAATAGAGGCTCCCAGAGGTCAAGTAAGTAACCCCAAAGTCCTTGAGGTCAGGTCTGCAGTCACCCAAGCATAACAGTAGTTATACAAGAAGCCTGGCTCTGTGCCTGCTACTTTACTGCTTTGCCCTGCACACTAATGTTGGCAAGTAATATTGCCTCACTGCAGGCTAGGAGCCCCTTGGAATGCCATACATGATCCTCTTGACTTTTGTCTTTTAGGTTGTGGCAACCACTGTCTCCAGTGCCAAGGTCCCCATGAGTGTACCCGCTGTGATGAGCCATTTCTTCTCTTGGAAGCCCAGTGTGTCCAGGAATGTGGGAAGGGGTACTTTGCTGATCATACAAATCACAAATGCACAGGTAACTTGGTGATTGTGCCGGATTTTCTGGGGAAATAAGTGAAGGCAGCAAGTGTGTCAGGGGTACCAATTGTTAAGTGATTAGGAACAGAATGAAAACTCAGAGAACTTGGCTCAAGTAACTGATGGTTTCCCATGCACATCGCCAATTGCTAGTTAAATAGAATATAGGTGTGCAGGCCAATAATTCTCTTGCACAAATCAATATTGTCCCTACAGTTCTTTATGGAAACAAAGTCAATATTTTATGGAATGTAAAGCTTATATTGAACTAAGGTGAGGTGTTCATTATGAGTAGGTCAGTCCTATTGATATAGACAAAGAATTTTCAGTGTGTAGACTAAATCACTGGTGACCCCTCATATCGACACAATATCCTTGAAGAGTAGCTTATTTGGAGACAATTCAGTGAGACACAGTAAATATCATTATTAAACTAAAGTTAAACCCAAAGCTTTCATCACCTTGTCCTTTGAGTTATTCGTGAGAGTTCCCTTAGTTTATTCTCATCATTTCTACCAAAATTTGGTGCCATGTGCCCCACTTTAAAGAATATCTGACACTTAATACTAATGCTCTCACATGATCCAGGCACAGAATTTTATATTTTATTCAATTTCCTTCATCTGTATTATCCACTTAATATTCACATTGACTTGGTAAAATATGGTAGACACTATGAATCCTATTTACAAGTGGGGAAAAGGAGAGAGGCTTAAGGCATTAACAACATAAAATGAGATATTAAGCCCAAGTTTTCTGATCCCCGGCCTTAAACTGAATGGTGCCCCCTCTCTATAATAAAACTGTAACTAAGGAAGCAGAAATACTGGGTGGTAAACACACACTTTGTGGACTATTAAATTGATCCAAAGAAATAAAGCCTGTTCTTCTTTATATAGCATGTTCCTCCCCTCATATATGTAAAATAATGATAATCATGACAATAAACAATAACATATAAGTGGCAATGGTAGTAACAGTGCAGGTGAGTCCTTTTGTGTGCCAGGCACTCTTCCAGTTACTTCACATTATCACACATGTAATCATTCCAGTGATCATTTGCATTAGGTGCTATTACTAGCTCCATTTTTCAGACAAGAAAATTGCAGCAGATTATTGAAGAAACTTGTCCAAGGTCAACAGCGGGTACATGGTAGAGAAGGAAATGGTAACCAATACCCAGAAAGGGACTATTCCCTTAACCTTGTAAACTCTCTTACAAGTCAATATAGTTAAATTTTTAAACAATCCATTTGCATGCAGCATTTTCAGAACACAGAGTATAAAGCAAGAGTGTGCCTCTCTATTTTGATTTCAGAGGTATATCAGCCCCCTATAAAAATTTATAAGAAGTTGTTGGAATTGTTTTGCTACAATTGAGAGCCATCTCGCTCTTCACTTCTCTACCAATGGTGACCTCTCCAGTGCCTGTGCCTATCCTGTGACTTGCTTTGTGTATCCTCTCTTTGGCAGCGTGCCCTCAAGGATGCTTGCAGTGCAGCCGTGGGGAACGGTGTCACCTCTGTGCCCATGGATTCTATCTGAAAAGTGGCCTTTGTGTTTCCAACTGTGTTCCTGGCTTCTCTGTCCATTCCGCAAATGAAACATGTGCTGGTAAGTGCTTCCCCTCTGATGGTCTAGTGAATCTGCTTGTAATTTCTCTATGTGATTGCTGAGTTTGCAGATACAATTGCCTCGTTTGATACAAAATGCAGACCTTCCATTTAGGAAAACCTCTGTGCTGCTATGGAATAAGAGATCATTTATAGAACTTGGAAAACTGGGAAAACATCTTTGGAAGGAATAAAGCAGTAATCTGTGTTTTAAAAATCACAATTATCAGTTCAGTAATTTGACATAAAAGTTGTTTCTGATCTGGGCCTCCCTGATGGCACAAGGATAAGTCTGAGCGTTATCAAGCTATTGCCAGACACTGCACCAGGAGTTCAATCCCTGGCCAGGAGCTGACCCACATGGTATAGCAGACCGCTCCTGTTTTGTCCGCTGCTCCCCTCAACAGTGTATTTCAGTAGAGTTGGCTGTTCTGCTCCCTACTCTGTCTATGGCAAATCCTTCCACTCCCCATACCTCTGGCCTACATCCCAGTTCTTGTATGAATAAATAAATAAAAAGAATCTTAAAAAAAAATTGGTTCTGATCTATAGCCACTTTGTAGAAAATAACATACATACTTACAGATAAAATGTGTCATATTTATATAAACTCATACAGCTAATTATGCTGGGGTGCAATGGTGTGCACACTGTGTACACATTGGATATAAACTATAACTAAATAATGAAACCTAATAATGAGTCTGCCCAGTTGCATTTATGCGTTTGCAGTGAACGGATTTTAAGCCACACTGTGTGCCACTGAGATGAAAGTAACACCCATCTATTGGATCTACCCTTGTTCAAGACATGAATAGGGCCTCCCCTGGTGGTGCAGGCGGTTGAGCGCCATGCTGTGAAGCTGTCCGCAGCCTCTGTAGCGCAGGTTTGATCCTGGCTGGCCGGTGAGGGTCCCACAGGTTGCAGCAGACCTTTCCTATCTCACCTGCTACTCTCCTCAGCAGTGTATTTCATCAGTCTGCCTGTTCTGTTCCCCACTCTGTCTCTGGTGAGTCTTCTCACCCTCCCACACATCTGACCTGTACCCCAGTTCTTGTATAATAAATAAATCTTTAAAAAAAAGACATGGATAGATGATTCACCTTAAACAACAAAGATAAGCTAATTTAAATTCAATCTTAATTTTAAATTCCAAAGGTTTATAGGTTAATGAAACTTAGGAGTTATAGCTAAACATCTCTTGGCTTTGAGGGTCCTTCATCAGTAACATGAGGCATGTTTTAACACCTGCAGTCAGTCGTATTTTCTAACTGTCCAACCTCTAAAGATATTAAGGCTTCCCATGGGAAAAATATCTTTAGCTTATTTTATTGGGATCCTTCAAGATACACCAACTAATTGAGAGTTACATTATTCCTCTTTGGAAGAAATACAAGTTAACTGGCTAAAATGAATTCCAATTTCATTAGCTTAATCTTACAGTAGAAGTTGTTTCCCTAAACTTGCCATTTCCAAACTGTCCTGTCTGATTTACTTTGTAGTAGGAAACACTATCAACTAAAGAATTAAAGTCCAGGCAAACAACTTGCAGGGGACAGGATCAATTCCACATCATCAATTAGATGTTTCCTATGGACAGAGATTGTAAAAATTTAAAATAGTGTATATGTTTCACATGAATTCTGATATCTTACTTCATTAAATCACTGATACTTTTTTAGAAAATGGTATAGTTACTCACCCTTTTCCTGCCCTTGGTGGGTCTGATAGTCAGTTCTGACCTGTGTTAGGAAAGGACTGTGGTTCTCAAACCTGCTGGCTTTTTAGGATTACCAGAGGAGCTTATAAAATCACAGAGACCTACCCCAAACATCTAAGTCCGAATCTCTGGGAATCTGAGTGATAGAACCCAAGTTTCAGTATTGTTCTAAAAGATCCCTCGTTGATTCTTTATTATTATTATTGTTGTTGTTGTTGTTTATATAGTTCACATATAGAAGTCACCCTCTAGAGTATATAATTCACATAGTTCCACAGTCATCATCACTGTCTAATTCTAGGACATTTAACTACCCTAAAGAGAAATCAAACAACCATCAGCAGTCTTTCTTCATTGCCCCCTTATCGCAGCTCCTGGGAACCACTGATCTAGTTTCTGCCTCTATGGATTCTAGGCATTGCACATAAATGGAATCATACAATATGTAGACTTTTATGTCTGACTTCATTCAATATTTTCAAGGTTCAGCCATGTCAGAGCATATAACAGTGAATCATTTCTTCTTATGATTGAATAATATTCCATAGTTTGGATATACCACACTATATGAGTTATATGAGTTGTTTCCACTTTTGAGCTATTATGAATAATACTGCTGTGGATGATAATGTATAAAGTTTTGTGTGGATTTATGTTTTCAGTTCTCTTGAGTATATGCCTAATGTAGAATAGTTGGGTCATATGGTAGTTCCATGTTTTATTGTTTGAACAATTGCCAGACTGTTTTCCCAAGCTACTCCCCCATTTTTACATTCCTATCAGCCATGTATGTGCATTCTAATTTCTCAGCATATTTAGGAATGCTTTTTATTTACCTCCTTCATGGATGTGCTTCACATTTGTGGTTTTGGTTTGCATTTCCCTGTCAACTAATGATTTTGAGCACCTTTTTATACCAGGATGTGTGTGTGTGTGTGTGCACGTGTGTGTGTGTGTGTGTGAAAGAGATATACCTATTCAAATTCTTTAGCTATTTGTATTTTTTTAAGATTTATTTATGTATCATACAAGAACTGGGGTACAGGCCAGAGGTGTGGGGGGTGAAAGGATTCACCAGATACAGAGTGAAGAACAGACTGCATACATTGATGAGAGAGCAGGGGTGAGACAGGAGAGGTGTGCTGTACCATGTGAGTTGCTCCCTGGCCAGCCAGGGATAGAAATCGTGCTGCAGAGGCTGAGGATAGCTTCGTAGGTTGAATCTTAACCCCTTGTGCTACCAGGGAGGCTCTCTTTGGCTATTTTTAAATAGGGTTATTTGTCTCTCATTGAGTTGTAAGAATTCTTTATATATTTTGAATACAGGACTCTTTTCAGATATATGTTTTGCAAATATTTTCTCCAATTCTATGGGTTATCTTTACACTTTTTTGCTGGTGTCTTTTGAAGCACATAAGCATTTAATTTTAATGATTTCCAATTTATCTATTTTTGTCACTTTGCTTTTGGTGTTTCAGCTCAGGAAGCATTGCCTAAATCAAGATCACATAGTTGAACTTTGAAATCCTGTGTTATCCTTATGTGCATCTTGCTAAGAGCCCCTGGATTGTAAGGAGGCTTATGGTGTACAGTAGCCTGGATTCTGATCATTGTTACTCTGAATGAACATTACAAATCTGTTCCTTAAAAAAAAGAAGGCCTAATTAGTGAATTTACCAAGCTTGACCTTTGGTTTTACATGTTTTTCCAGACAAAGTACATACTCCTAGTCTTCATGTGAATGGTTCCCTCACCCTTGCGATTGGTTCAATGAAGCTCCTGGATTTTGCCCTCCTGAATGTCCAAGACCAGGGAGGCAGGGTGGAAGACCTCCTGTTCCATGTCGTGAGCACTCCCACCAATGGTCAGTTAGTGCTCTCAAGGAATGGAAAAGAGACTCAGCTCGACAAGGCTGGCCATTTTAGCTGGAAAGATATGAAGGAGAAAAAAGTTCGTTTTGTGCACAGCAAAGAAAAACCCAGGTGAATTGTGTTCTGTTATTTCCCTCCCACCTCTTTTCCAGTGCTTTCCCCCTTCCACTTCCAATAGCCATCCCTTCTCTTCTGGGGAAGATCGATACTCCACAAATGCCAAGTGCTTTCAGCTGCTTGTCATCATTTCACTGTAATTGCTGAGAGAGCGTGCTTCTGTTCAAGGCATTTTCTTTTTAACACATAATTATGGGTAGTTCTCTGATGTGACAGGAAAGTTCCTAGTACAAGTACCCAGTATTTTGGGCCAGCAGAAACAAAATTGGATGTATACCCAGATGTTCCAGCTGCTTCTTCAACATTAAGGTGATATACTGGGAGAAGGGAGTGGCTGAAAGATGGAGTACCCACTTTTCAAGATCTCGTGTAGTTCCTAGAATTTCAGAGTTGGAAGTGAACAAGAGACACTGTTAACTTTTTATTATCCATGGGATTAATCATGGTTAGTTGTTAGGCCTGATCCAGTTTCCCCATATGCCTAGCACACTTCTGGCTGTGTTCCCCACCCCAGCTGACATGTATTTCATGAATGCAATTGAATGTTAACACAATCCAAGCAAATATTGCCATGTAATTAGCAGAGTATATATCCTAAACAGAAATTGGAGAACACACCCTAAAGATTAGCCTCTTGGGTGATCCTTCACCCTGCTCTGCTTTATTAGTGCAGAATATTCAGAGAAGTTAATAACACAGTGAATATTTCCCACTGTCACTATTAGAGATTTTATTTAAGGTGGGAGAAAAGTAGAAGACACTTCCTTTATTGCAGTTCTGAGCTGATGATGCCAGTTTTTTTCAAAGCATCATTTACAGGAATAAGAACAAATACCATTTATTGACTGCTAACTTTGAGCCAGGTTCTATGTCAGGCACTGTGTGTGAATTGTGTATATTTATGTTCCCAGTCCACAGACAGGCCAACTAAGGAGCTGAGAGTGTAAGTAATCATGCCCTAGCTCCCATCCTATGTGGGCACGGAGCTGAAACTCCAATCCCCAACTCTCTAATTCCATAGCCCATGGCTGCAGCAACTATGGTTTCTGCCCCCTTCAAGTACTAGGATTATAGGCATGTTTCCATGCTCAGGGCAGAAAAGATTATTGCAGAGAGAAGCATACTACAGAAATGCAGCAGAAAAGCCCTAGTGTTTGATGCCATAGAACCATTCTTCAAATTTGTGCTCCATTTCCTGTATTCATTTTGCTGCAATTCCCAATTCATTTTGCTGTAGTTCCCAAGTGATTGCATCTCTCTCACTCTCTCTCTCTCTCTCTCTCTCACACACACACACACACACACACACACACACACGCTTCCATACCTGCAGTCTTGGAGTCACTTGTGAAAAATGTAAAGCTGTCAGCTTTGAACCCCTAAGTGGGACAAATAATGACAACTGCCAGGGAATTCCTTCAGTACTCTTTATTTTTTGGTACTCATTTTGATACTCCATTTTCTTTATTTTAAAATTTAAACAAAAGAATGATAAAGTAAAATAAGATTGGTAGAAATTCATGAAAAAAAGAAAGTCAAAGGAGTTTTTGAGTGATACAAAAATAAAGGCACAACCTGCCACACCAATTTGTGCATTTGTTTTCCTCCCTGAAAACACTGACCATGATTCTTTAGGATTGGGAAGGGGATTTTGAGAGGGGATTTCGGGAGGGGATTGATGGTTGGCATATCAGATGAACTGGAGAGATTATCACAGTGACCATAATAAACTGACTTTGCAGAGATTTTGAACACAGTTGTAGCCTCAATGCCACCAAAAATTATTTTCTCCACTGGGTTGGGTATTGCCACCCCTTCTTTGTTGATTCTGATGCTTCCATCAATTTCATTCTCTTGAAATCTGGAAGTGGGAGTGGAGAGGAGCAAGATTTTAATGGGGCATAAAATGAAAGGATGGAATCAAAGGAAAGACAGGATATCTTTTTTTTTTAATCAGGTTTATTAACCTGATTTCCCCATTTGAAAGTGTCCTGTTTTTGTTTGTTTGTTTAGTTATATCTAAAAAGCAGGTTTATTAGTGAAAGGGACATAAGAACAAAGGACACTTGCATAGACACAAGCAGGCAGGAAGAGCTGCCCCAAAGGGACAGGTTTTCTGAGAGAGGCCTCTGTGGTTACAGGCAGGCAGCCTTGAGGAGAGCTGCCTCCACTGAGGGAGGTCAGTGAAGAGGGTCCTGGCATGGTACAGGTCACGGGCAGGCAGGAAGCTGCTGCCCTACAGAGGGAGAAAGTTGGTGAAAAGATGAACCTGCATAGTCACAGGTGGGCAAACAGAGTGCTGCTGAAGTGTCCTCTTTTATGAGTGATAATAAATGTATATATAGTCTTGAAATCTAAAGATCACAACCACAATGAAGTTAAAAAACAGTACTAACATCTCCAAAAAAATCTTTTTACAATCACTCCCTTCCTCCCAGACCCTAGAAAACCCTGATCAGCTTTTCACCCCTATAGTTTTGCCCTTTCTGGAATGTCATATGAATGGAATCACATGGTAAATAATATTGTTTCTGGCTCTTGCCATAGTGCTTTTAAGCTCCATCCACATGCTTTCCTGTATCAGTAGTTATTTCCAAGAAACACTTCCAAAGAACTTTTCTTAAATAATGGTCCCTATACTAGACCAGAATTCAAAACCTGCCACAGTGCATTAAATACACATCTTATCAGCCAGCAATGAGTTCTGTGCCTGATTTGTCTTTGAAGGTTGGCAATTGCTACCTTCCTTCTAGCTGTCTCTGAAGCTGATGGAACACTACAGGAAGTAAAAACTACCCCGAATAGAGAGTCTAATTTTGTTCCACTAATTAGGACTCTTTGGTTCCAACTAATGGAAGTCAATTTGAAATAGATTAAGCAAAATAGTAAGGTTTATTATAACATTGCAGGCGTGTATCAGATCTCAGGGACATCAAGGGCAATGAGGCTCCGGGGACCAGCCTGGATGCTGGAACCAGGAATGGGAAGCAGAACTGAGTTCTTCCTCGGTGTCTATTTGCCCATGGAGGGCATTCAACTCTCCTGTATTCAGGCTTGCTTCACATTTTCACTGACACTGTAGACTATGGTTCCCCCATAGACAAATGTGGGTTCTCAGGCCAGTTTTGAGTTTCCAGAGAATAATCAGTCACCAGAGAATAATCAGCTTACAGGACTAGCTGAGAATAATCTCTATTCCAGAGAATAATCAGCTACTAGTCGAGTGCATGTTGAATGTGTGTGTGGCAGATGTAGGGTAAGGGAGGGTGCCAAGGGAATAGTCATGTGATACACACATTGAAAACATTATGATTGGGGATCCACTCTCATGAATTGGGCAGAGGTTAGGGAAAGACTGCAGGGAAGAGGGAATCATTGAGAACTAGTCACGGACTAGGAAAGATTCCTTTCCATTCTCAAATTTAAATATTAATCTACAAATTGTTGTCTTGAGCCAACAACTGATTCTCAATTTAGTAAATAAGCAATCGGCAAGTTTAGTTTTCATGTTATCATGAGATCTAAGAATACAGTTTTACCTCATCTCATTATAGTCATCCTTATCTAGTCATTTATTTACATTGTAAATATTACTATTGTAGTGGTTTGAAACAAATTCTTATATGCATATAACTTGAAAGTATTCTTAATGTTCGTTTTCTAAAAACTAATTTAATAACTATATTTTCTCATTCCTTTCTTGGGAATGCCCTTTTAGGAAAGGTTACTTTTCCCTGAAAATTAGTGACCAGCAGTTCTTCTCTGAACCACAGTTGATCAACATACAAGCATTTTCAACACAGGTAATAACAATGCCATGAGTTAATGTTATATGCCTACTAGGTTTCAAGCACAAATTAAGTTTTCTTGTAGCTTTACTTTATTGTTTTCATAAAAATGATAAGCTAAATTAATCTTATTTCAGTTTTTTCATGAACTGCCACTGGAGAAAATTTTAGTACTTGTGAGCAGTAACAGCAGCACCAACAATTACTAACACATGATAGTACTCTTCTTAGTGTTTTTTATTTAATCTCCCTGAAGAAACTATGAAGTACTTTTAGCCCTAAAATACAGACAAGGAAACAAAGTCACAGGGAGATTATGAAACATTTCTGTAGTGATATGCTAGTAATTAGAGAGCCAAGATTTGTGCTGGTAAATCTGGCTGCAGAGTCTGCTTTTAACCATTCTATGGTGGTGCCTTACTTTACTGTAATGAACTCGATACTGTAATGAACCCGATACATCAGAATAATTAGAAGTTGTTACAGATATTAAGACTTTCCTTATTCTTAGGTAAATGACTTGTTTTATAGAAATATTTCTCTCAGGTGGGCCTCCCCTGGTGGCACAGCGGTTGAGCGCTGGGCTGCGAGGCTGCCCGCAGCCTCAGCAGCACCGGTTCATTCCCCAGCCACCGGCGAGGGTCCCCCCCCACACACACACAAAAAAGAAATATTTCTCTCAGGGATATGGAATTATGTTTGGCCGTATCCTTCCTGTCTGTCCTACAGCCAGACTGCATGGAACTCAGAGGAGTTTCCTAAGGATCTTCTTAAATGGGGCACCAGTGTGGTCATCAAACAAACATGAGCCTGAAGAATCTTGGTCCATGATATAAAACTCAGGCTCTGTTTCTTATCACCCATCTGTCAGGTCATGCTTATGTGTCCAGAATACATGTAGTGGTAGATGCTCTAGTAACCAGGAGTGAGAGTTGAACAGCTAAAATGTGCAAAGACAGTAGCAAGAAAGAGATGGTCTAAGAGAGTTGAAGATGATCATGGTGAACCAAGACTACCTAAATATCCAACTTTTGGCAGTGTTTTATCATGATTTAGTGAGGGACACAAAACGTTGTTTTTAAAGTGATATTTTCATATTTTTGGTCTAAATATAAGACCACAGACCATGAATAACATAGATTTGAATAAGAAATGGAAGCCAAATAGTATTCACAGCCCAACTGAACACGTCCCAATGACATTCTCACCTCTGGGATGACTGAAGTCGAGGAATGATTAGAAATTGATCCTAAATTAATTTGAACTCAGGTTTGGGTTAAGAGTATGAATTTTGTTTTAATTAAAATGAAACTAGTGATCTCTGTAAATATGGGTCAGAGAGATGTATCAAGTCCCAGGACTTACTGACTTAGGTGTTTCTCTGAGCTCAAGCTCAGAAGTTTGTGTTATTCTTTCTGTTTTTGTTATGTAGTTATTCCAGCCAGATGAATAAAAGGCTGAGGGTAGGTGTGGGCAAGTGACTTCCTAATCTGTGATAGTGAGTTCCCATAATTCCCTGATTTTGTTTGTTTTCCCAAAACCAAGTAAATAGATAGTAAGGGCACATTTTCATTTTACTTATTATATGAGAAAATTGTATCATTTTAAAAGTTTTACAATGGTATTTCAGAAGTGAATTTTAACCAATTCTTGGTTCACTGACATTTCTGTGATATTGTAATATGGTCTTGTGCCTCCTCGAGATTTTCTCATGTAAATTAATTTGATCTTTCTCATTTATGGATTTTGACATCGCCTTTGACCTTTCCTCTTTCAGTCTCTGAGGGTGAACCGCTTATTCCCATGTATAGAATCATAGCTTTTCGATTCTCACTTGGGAATTCTGAGGAGTAGCCATTATCTAGTTTTTCATATGTGATTATTATAATGACCCATTAGTTAGACATTACTTTAATAGATATTGAAATTTCCAGGAGTGTGCTTGGGTAATTTTAAAAAAGCCAATTGGATTAAAGAAGACAGTGTGCTGAGAAAAGTCCACAATGGTTCAACTTTAAATGATACGAAAAACTTAAGATAATGTTTTCTTTGGCTTCTGGCCTTGATATTTTTTTCTGAAGAGTTTTTTCTGTTATGGTTCATTAACTTTTATCTTTCTGAAAGAACATTTTATCTGCTTACTCTCTTTGGGGAGGGGGTCTGGAGAAATTGAGAATCTTAAAAAAAAAAAAAAATAGACATGCACACTACATTTTGCTCTCTTGGCAAATGAATTAACCGGAGGATTGCCTTACTCAGACTGTGACCTTGTCAGGCTGTGTAACCTGAGTTTGGGTGGGCCCCTGCAAATTGTAGATGACACAATGTGGAGGGACCAGGAATAGCATGAATTCAGAATGTAGTCAGGATGCTGCAACGTTGTCTAGAGTGAAAGGCTCAACTCCCAAACATACATCCAAAATTTTCATACCTTTTATTACTTTCTCTTGTATTTAGAGAGCTGATTGGGTTGATTAAGTTGATCTGATTTAAAATGCAGGAAATATAGTATATAAGTCATGATAGCAAAGACTTTAGATATTTAGAAGCAAGCAGCCCTCCCTGATTGCTTCTGATGAGTACTGCGGTCTTAAAGTAGCTTGAGAAGTCTCTAGAACTAAAAGTGTGAAGTTATCTCATTTGCTGTGATTACCATGACTGAACACACTGGTGCCAAGAGCTTTGCCTGTACAATAATTTGGCACTTTGCAGGAGCATCTACAGTTCCTTTAAAAGCACAGAAATATCAATCAGGTTGCATACAGTTGGTTTCTAGTCCACTGGATTTTCCTCTCTTTTCCTGCTCAATGACTTCTCTTCCTCTCTTTCCCTTTAACTCCGCAGGCCCCCTATGTGCTGAGAAATGAGGTCCTCCACATTAGCAGAGGAGAGAGGGGAACCATCACCAAACAGCTGCTTGACATCCGAGATGATGACAATCCACAGGATGTGGTTGTTGAAGTGCTGGATCCTCCACTTCATGGCCAGTTGCTTCAAACTCTTCAGTCCCCTGCAACCCCTATCTATCGATTCCGACTAGATGAGCTCTCCAGGGGCCTTCTCCACTATGCTCACGATGGCTCTGATAGCACATCTGACATTGCAGTCTTGCAGGTTAATGATGGACACTCCTTTCAAAATATACTGTTCCATGTGAAGACTGTGCCTAAGGTAGGTGTCATTCTTCAGGCTCAATTTCCTTACACCAACACTTGAGGCTTTGCTGATGGTATTACTTCACAATACTCATGTTATGATATAGGCAATTATTTATTTAAACATGTATTGAGCACTATTATGGAGATAAATAGGCATTCAAAGTTTAATAGAACACATTTCCCAATCTCAGTGGGCACAATATATTTTGTTAGGATCACTTTTGATCTGAGAGACCTGACTCATGATCTTTACAAAATAGGAATTTTTTAACCTTTATGTTGATATCCTACCAATAGCAATGTGTCACTGCTCACAGGTTCTCTGTCTCTTGTTGAGTGTGATCATATGCATCAAAAGCAGTGCACCCCTGTTTTGTCTACCCTTCCAGTATAACTCATGCAGTGTGAAACTCATAGGTTATCATACTGAATCAAAAAGAATGAGTTCAACCATTGTGTTCGTTCAAGTGAATAGGCTGAGGGAACTCTCTTAATGGTAATCATGGGATTCCATGGTCCAGGGTATAGGAACTCAGTAAAGAACAGTGTCTCTCAGCCTTATTTGCCATCTGTTTTTGCCTTGTACATGAGCACCTGTCCCATTATTTACTTAATATTTTTCTTGGGATCAATTTTTTATTGTAACCTCATCCTAATAAATAAAACTGTGAAATTCTGGATTTAATATGGAATTACACTGTTTCTCCTGAAGATACTAAAATAAATGCATAACCATTTTATAATATTGTATTCATGTATGAAACAAAGTTCTTAGATACTACAGTGGGGTGACTGTCACATTTTGGCAATTACTGGACTAATCACATGCATGTTTAAAGAGACCTATTGAAAACATTTTTAAAATCATGTGTTACTTGATATTTCACTAGAAACCCTTTTCTGTTACAGCAAGAATGGCTCTTTTTCATAGTAGTAGATTGGGAGACTATAAGGGGACAGGAATAGTGTAGGGACAGAAATGAGCACAGTGCAGGTTTTCTGATCCAGCAGACTGGGTAAAGGAGGAATCAGGGTCCTTAGTGGCTTTTTGCAGGTCTTTTTTTGCAGGCCTCCCAGCCCCCAGCAAGTCTTCATTCTGTCTGGGCTCTCCGGCCTTCTCTCAACTTCTGCTTCTCTGCTTCTCTCTCGGCTTCTCTTTTGGCTTCTACTGGCGTCCCCATGATGCTGCTCTTAAAAGCACAGTCTCAGCCCAGGTGAATCCCATCTACCTATGCCCACACCCTACTCCAGGCATGCATTCAGGACCACAGGGTTCCGTCATCTATCCTGATGGCGGGAGGGCAGAAAAGCTTTTACCTTACCCTACAAATGGGCACAGTGCAGGTTTTCTGATCCAGCAGACCGGGTAAAGAAGGAGTCCTGAAACCCTCTGCGGATTTTTGCAGGCTTTTATCGGGATTTACCGGGTACATGGCAGGTAGGGGTATCGGGGGGCCAGGAGGCTGGTAGATCTTACAGCCCCCAGCAAGTCTTCACTCTTTCTGGCATTCTCTCGTGGTTGTCCTTTCTCCATTCATTCTGCTTCTGCTTCTCTCTCTGCTTCTGCTGGCATCCCCGTGATGCTGCCCTTAAAAGCCCAGTCTGAGCCCAGGTGAATCCCATCTGCATAGGCCCACACCCTACTTCAGGAGCCCACCATCAGCCATGCATTCAGGACCACAGGGTTCCGTCATCTATCCTAATGGCGGGAGGGCAGAAAAGCCTGATACTTTTTACCTTATCCTACAGAGACTTACACTTTTTTTTTAACTTTTTATTACAAATATCAGTACTTACTGAAGTACCATTAATAATTAACTAAAGAGATTGATTTGCTGAGGACAGTTTAGAAAGCACTTGGCACTTTCTCACCAATGATCACTCAAAATTTGTGATTGATCCTTGTGAAGGTGAACACCTGAAACTATCATAGTCTGCCAACTAGTTTCACAGGCCCTTGTCTCATTATTTTCAGCTGCTGGAAACAGTGATGGTGGCATGACATAGATGGGAGTAAGTCAAGGCTGATTATGAGATAGAGCTGGCTTGTAGCCATCTTGCAGCTAATCCTAATTATCACCCTCTTGCAATCGCCCTGGGAGATGAGGTTTAGTTCTGAAGAGATGAAGTCTAGACAGACACAAAAAGTTTTCTTTTCTTCCTTCTTGGTTTCTCTCCAAAAGTTGTTAAAGGATTTCAGTGCAATCCTAGCAGCAGCCTTTCCTATCATGCTTTCGATCTCCGTGTTTGGAGCTCAGTTCAGTGTATTTATTGCACAATCATTTTGTGTGGTGTGGCCCAAGGTTGAAGGGTGTTTCTAGGATTTTAGCTACCATGACTACCAAAACCAAACAAAGGAAAATAGAATTAATTTATAAATTAGTCATAAACACATAACTTAAGAATTCTTGGGCCTCCCCGGTGGCGCAGCTGTTGAGCAGCCTCTGCAGCACCGGTTCGATCCCCGGCCACCGTGTGAGGGTCCCACATGGCATGCGGACCTCTCCTACCACCTGCTGCTCCCCCTCAGCAGTGTACTTCCTCAGTCTGCGTGCTCTGCTCTCTGCTCTGACTCTGGTGGGTTCTCTCACCCTCCCGCGCTCCTTACTGTGCCCAGTGCTTGTATAAATAAATGAATAAATCTTAAAAAAAAAAAAAAGAATTATTGCAGTGCTTATAACTCAAGAGTCATGTTGGTGTTTATGGTATCTGTCCCTCCTCCTCCCTCTCCCTTCCCCCTCCCCTCTCACTCCCCCCTCTTCCCTCCTCCTGCTCTCTCCCACCTTACCCTTCCTCTTCCTCTTCCAGTGTTGTCCATCAAGTGAACCAATGGCATTTATGCTAATGAATTGGGATAATGAAATCAGTGACCAGAGGCCCAGTATCCATCAGGATATATTAATAATAAATTTGATATTGTAATGCTGATAATATTTTTTAAATATTTACTGTGTTTCCTAGTAGAAATTAAAAGTAAGTTTCCTCATATCTGTATCACTCATCTTTACAATACCTTTTTTTTAAGTAAAGAATATAGACTTTATTTAATTTTTGATGTATCAACAGAGCTAGTTTTTGGGTTTTTTTGAGCATTTTTATTTTATTTTGTATATGTTTTGCATCATTTTTCATTGTTGCACAATGTATGCATCATCTTTACAATATCTTAATGAATAAGATTAAAGTAGAGGCTATGTGAGCTTATTCCTAAAGGAAATTCTGCTGTGGTTAGAAAGTCTTTCATTTGTTTTTTTAACCTTCATTAGGCACCAGCGGTTAATGTGAACTATTTTATTTTATCTTCACTAATTCTGTGATGTTTGTAGAGTTATTATCTCTACTTTTTCAAAAAAAAACCTGGAAAAAAAGTTTAAAAGCATTTATCTATTGTAAACATGTTTAGTCTTAGAGCTGTGATTTCAGCTTCAGTGCATTCTGGTTCCTCATGCTTAACCATGTGAGTCTTTTCATTCCAGTCCCTATTTTTCAATGTTTTGATCATAAATATTCTTATCCCCTTAAATGGATAGAATGGAGAAGTAATCTAGTCATTTTCTCAGTGTCTTATCCAAGCACTCTGGGCCCCAAGCTTCCTGGAATCTTCCCTCTGGACTTAACACATCTTGTTACAAGTGAAGCTATTTATAATCATAAGTCTACTGGAGCCCAAGAAGGAAAAATTGCTTCAACTACTAACGGCTTTCAGCAGATTTGTGGAGAGATGTGATTGATTTTATTCTGATAGCCTTTTCTAAAGATGGGCATCAGGTCCTTACCATGAGACTGGTCTACCTCTGTATTAAATTTAGAATAAGGTCACTTATGCTTATGTCTAGCTGGTGGCGTAAATGGAATGCCAAGGGGATTAGGTCTAATTCCAAATGAACAGCTATACAAATTAATTCCAGTATTGTTCAATACTGGAAAAATAGGTGGAAAATAGGTGGAAAGGAAGGGAGAGAGAGCAAAAGAAAGCTTTGTGAGGACAGGAACTCTTAAAGCCCAGCACATCAGAAGAGTTGAGTACATTTTCATTGGGCAGATGGACAGATATCTGGATGCAACAGCTTGAGTTAGGCTGGTGTCCATCCATGTTCCTGCCTTTGAGTCCATCTCTGCTGTTGGATGAGAAGCCCTCAGGGCATTTCTGATGATATTGAGGTGGCCCATGTGGGACCCAGAGTAGGAGCTTGATCCATTATTGTTTCTGAAATTCTACATCACTTCCCCCTTAAGTTTTTATCTTCGGCACGGCAGTGAATAAACTTGTCTGCCACCCTCTAGGCTTATACTGAGTCACTGAGGAGAAAATAGAACCATGACTGATGTTAAAACATGTTCTGTTGAGGGAAGGAGGCAAAAGAAATCTAAAAGATTAAAAGGTAATAAAAAAATACTTTGCTGAGCAGGCTTTCATTAATTGGGTGGATTACCAAACCCCAGCCTGCTAGAGAGATGATTCTAAGGCAATTCGGTGTCTAATAAAGGACTGACGTGTGCAGGGAAAAGTCATGTCTTTTGGTGGGTTTCTTGCCACTGCTGGGCTCTCAAGGAATTACCTTCTTTTTCATTAATTAAGGCGCCTCTGGAAATCAGCCTCTTTTTCCACTTTGGCAATAAATCTGATGATCTTTCTGACCTCATTTGTTGTTGTTTGAGCAGTTATTTTCTGCAACTTGGTAATGCTTGATGTTAAAAGCCCCCAAGTGTCTTGCTATGAACTGGATGGAAAATTCTGTTGCTAAGCTTTCTTTCTAGCTGTTTGACTTGAGAAGTCCCTCGATTTCCTGTAAGCCCACCTACCCATTGACTATCTTGCAAGGACACAGTTTGCTTATAAAAATTATAAGTATCAATGGAACAAAATGTTTTTTCCTTAGAATAAGGGTCTATCTTATAAATAAGTAAATTCTCACCCTGAATCAGGGCTATAACTTTTGGATTTGCTTAATTTATTCAATTTAATGTCTAGAAAGATTCATTGCTTGGGTTATACACTTATATACTCAGAAA